CTGCATGTAGGTTATTCTCTCTTTAGTATGTACTATTTTGCGAATGTTAGTACGCCATTTTATATTTTTGACTTCAAAAGATTCCTAGGCGGAGTTTTTCTAAAGTTTTTCGACCATTAACATGGATATATCATACATTCGCTTTGGCAAGCATTGTCACGTCATGAAACATAAAATTATTAATTTATCTTACCCGCACATTACGCATTACAAATTTGCTGTGTTGCCACTCGGCATATAGCAAAATCTTTAATTTATCTAAAGAATTTCATTTTATTGATTTTGTAACTACTTGATAAATTTAGTGGTTTAGCAGCAATAAACGCTTTTCTTAATTATTAAAATTTTTTTGATAAAATGTAAAACGCATTAAAATATACTATTGGGACTAAAATACATATTTTCTAAATTTTAGCTACTATAGCAGGAAGATCATTAAATCACATTAAATAACAGATCAACATTATTAGAAATTAATACAATCTTTAATCTGAAAGCGACATGACGTAGCATCATCACGAACTTATTGGAATAATAATTACAGTAGAAGGAACGAATATTACGAGTTAGACATAAACTCACATATAGACATTTTATATGAATATTTAAAGTGCAAAAATTTCTTTTCATGTACATTAGTTTTTAATGTCTATTTATTACTTGGTCTAAGTTAAAATATTACATTTTAAAATTATTTTTTACCTCAAAATTTTAAGATTAAATTTAATCGAAGTGCTTCTAAATCATATCAAAATGTCAAAAATTCTCAAACAAAAGTTCTCTCAAAACTAATAAAGATTAACTAAGACAATTTCTATCACAAAATTAATAATAAAAAAACTGGTTAATTTTTACGCCAGTTCTAAGCTATTTAAAAGCTCCTTTTAGTCTTTAGAGATTACATGAAACGTTTCTGTTAATCTTTGAATTCATAAAAGAAAGTGTTAATAATTAGTTGCATTACATGAAGCCTTTATTTATTTATGCAGCCTCTAAACACAAGAGCTATGAGTTGTCTTTGATGACAACCTGCCACTTTAATAATTGCAGGAGTTTTTTCAAATGATATTTGCTTAATATTTCTGTGCTTTCTGGCTCGAGTCATCAAATATTCAGTTGTTGTCTGACCACTGGGGAAGAATGTGTATTGCTTACAACGTAGTGGTATAACAGCTACATTTTTGAGTCAAACTTCTAACATTTTCTTAAAGATTTTTTGCAGTTTATTTAAAAGCATCAAGCAGATAGCCTTCATCTCCTTTGTTGCATTCAAATAAAGAAGTACAATCGTTTTTCTATTCCTTGAATAGCTTACTGTTTCTAATTGCACTATATCACGGGTTCTCAAAGGTGTTCGTATTGGAGGTCAAAACTGGGAGGACAAAATTTTAAAGTGGATCGATGATGATCAAGGAATCTATTGGTGGTCGACAGCCAAATATACATGAGCAACCTTTCTGCATAATGAAGATCCCACTGATACTTATTAATATTATAAAACTGATAATAAATTTTTATTGATATAACGCTACATCATACATTAAGGGAAACAATTATTCAAAATAAACACAGTGAAAAATACGCAAAAAATATTTAATATATTTTTTAAATTAATGATCCTTTTTCAAAATACATATTTTTTATACAAGAAGTGCAACATAAAACTAAACCACAGAAATGCAAAAAAAACACACCCGAAAAATTACGAAGAACGCGAAACTTCCTCAAAAGATACATTGCTGTACACAAGCCGCTTGCAAAATTTAAAAGAATATTTTAATGATAGCTGCCAAGATATTGAAATTTTGAATATTCCAGCATGGCTGATAGAACCGCTGAACTGCCATATAGTTGTTCTTGGTCTCATGATGCAAGAGGAGTTGATTGCATTGAAGGATGATATTTAAGCACAGGTCTATTCAAAACACAAAGGTTTAGAATTTGAAAATCAATCGAGATAAATATTAAAAAATAAAAGTTGTTAAATGAACAACATTATTGACTTTTCCCTTTTCTTTCAGTCGAGTTAATAATTTACTGCTGAAAACAAGAAACATGTTGCATATTTTTGAACGAGGTTATTTAAAAATTAAATAGAGCAATTTTATGCCAAATATTAAAACAGCTACATCAGTACATGAAGTGCAGCTATTATACTCATTAAAATCTAACTTTTGTGTAATCAGAATCTGTGATTTTGTTCTTAAAACTAGTTTACAAAAAATTATTAATAATAATAATAATGCAAAAAATAAGAAAACAAATTTAATAAAACCTTTTTTACAACAGTATGCTGTAGGTTATAGAGAAAAACGAAGAAAAAATTCTTTTAAAAGAAATAAACGCAAGAAAAATGTTGGGAATCTCTCCTCTAAAGTATCGAAACTTTAATTTACTTTACAGTATAAGAATCATTTACTTCCGTTTTTCAAACAAAAAATGCACTTTTCATGTTATTCGCGAAGAACGTTTGTTTTTGAGCCGTTTGTTGAAAGCACCTCCAAAGAGCTTCAGATTAACCAGAAAATGGTGAATTTTCTTGAACATTTCTTTCAGTTGAAGAACGTTTGTTTTTGAGCCGTTTCTTGAAAGCACCTCCAAAGAGATTCAGGATTAACCAGAAAATGGTGAATTTTCTTGAACATTTCTTTCAGTTTGGAAAATAACCAAAAATTACAAGATGGCAAAAAAATTTGGACTGTAAGAAGTGTGTCATCTACTGATCTTTGATTACCATTATGAAAAGCTGAAATGGGTCGACACATCCTTGTTCACGATTCAGGCACTTCGAATCCAAAGGCAGACAGGTTTTACACTCAAACAATAATCGCAGTAAATTGCTATCATATGCCATTGAATTTGTAACTGCATACCACTTTGTAGTGTCAAAAGTGTGTTGTTGTTTGTAGTTTCATACATAATTCAGGGATAATACTCGTGAGCAATGAACCCTATTACTAAAGAAGCTAAAATAAAGAGTGAAATCAAACTAATCTCATTTAATAAACTAATCTCATATTTAAAGCTGCTGAAATTAGATGCTTAGAATTTTCTACACCAACTACTGGGAACGCTAAAGCACGCTATTATCAGTGTGTTACTGTTACTTACTTATCAGTCAACCTAAGTATTTTATAAACACTTTAAATATTTAATTACAGAAATTAGGTTTAATAAATTTTCAGTTTCATGCTTCAAAAAAGTTTCGGTTATAATTTAATGCATACTAAACCTCTTGAACGGGGTATGTATACACTGCTTATAAAGTAAAAGTAGTTTTAATGGAACATTTTTATAATAAGAAATTTAATTAATTTTAATCGAAAATTTTTATAATAAGAAATTTAATCAATAGAATTCTTTAGTTACTTAAAATCATCGTTATATGATTTTTAAATTCTTTACATTACTTGAATTAATTAATTATTTATAGAAATAGCAAAGAAAATGGCTTGAGTTCCCTAACATGGAATTAGAAGGAAGAAAAAACGGTAACCTTAAGAAGAGAAATTAAAAATCGTGTTTTAAGAAATCCCTTATATGTAAATAAAAATAGCATGAAATCATGCTTTACATGCTGCTCTGAAAATTATTGCGACAGCAATTCTAAATTTAGATTAACTTGCAGCATGCTCTTAAACATTCCAACCGCATTATATAATTCGAATAGTATACTTGTTATTTTTCATTATAAAATTTAAATGAATATTTTCTATATATGATAGTTTTCTGCTTAAGAAAGAAATGTCTAGCTTGCTTACCTGATTCAAAAGTGTTGTATATTTCTTTCTCAGACATCATTGCAGACAAAGAAAATATTTTACAGGAAACTTATCGCATAAATGGGAAAGCGATAATTTCTGCTGAGATAAAGCCAGTGTGAAAGCAATAGCTGTCATTACCATGAATGGAGTCTCGCGTTAACTTTATTAACGACTGTTGTTAAATTTTTCATTATTATCAGCTATCATTATTATATTTATTTTATATATCAACAGCTGGTTAAAATATTTTTATTAATCATGGCTTTGAAGTTTTAATAATAGTGTTTTTTATTATTGATAGAACATTGTGATAACCTATATAGGAAGCACATATTAGAATAAAACGTAACTGGTATAAAAAGTAAATTTCCTTTGATGTCAAAATTTATCCAGTCTGAAGTTTCATACCAAAGTTCAGTACCAAAATTACACTAGAAAGTTATGGTAAGATATTACAGACTAGGGAACTGACACTAAAATTTCATAGTTGATAGTTAGCAGTTGAAATAGCAGTAATTCGCAATCTTTTTTGCCACAGCCAATCTTTTGCTCTCTTTCAGGAAGTCTCAGAATGCTCTTTCTTTTGAAAAGACATTTTGATCCTTCCTAAACATTTTTGCTTCAGTTTAGTCTTTTTCAAAAGTTATTTGTTATAAAGCTATTTTATAAAAGTTTTTTTTTTTTGAAAGTTTTTTGTGGTGTTTTTCAAATTATGTATATATGTAAAACTGAAAGCCTATTAGTTTATACTAAAATCACGTTTACGTTGTAAAAGTATATATTTGTACATTGTAAACAGTTTATGCCCAAAATATATGAATTTAAGGTTTACTTTAGAAATATATTTATTTATGCATTTGTTATTAAATAAATTAGGTTTGCATTTAGTATGTGTTATTTGCTCTTCTGTTTCTGAGAACGTTCTCAACAACACAAGATTTTCTAGCTTCTTCTGTACCTGTAGGCGAAAAAGTTGTCAAATATGCTTTACGGCTAGGAATTTCCTCTGTGAAAAGAGATTTAAAAAATGAAGTTTTGTCTACTTGACACTCCATGCTTTAGGAGCAGGGAAAAAGGAGTTACGGTCACAGAAGTGTGCGGTTATATTACTAATCATATTTTGATAAAAAAAAAACTGCCTATTTGCATCGTCATTGCTATCGTGTAAAAATATTCTGAAATAGAGCAGAGGGAACTTAAATAACACATAAGAGAAAATAAACACAAACACAAGCAAATATTTACAAATATAAATATTACAATATTGATCAATAATCTCTGAGAAATTAATTTTATATTATGTCAAATTTCGTTTTACATTTTTCCCTTTCTTCGAACTTTATCAACACCAAAGCTGATTAACTGTTAGATCTTTTACATTCACACCTTTCAGATTTTCCGGTAGACTACAAGAAGCTGTGAAAAGTGGAGGCTTCCTGCTTTTGACTATCCAGCGCATTCGGCAATCGCACTTTAGTGGGTTATCTGAAAACATAAAAAAATATGAGAAAAACGCCAGTGTAAAACTAAATGGAAGGCAAAACAGCAATTTTATATAGTTAAAATCTGCACCTGACATAAGGTTTCAGTATTTCTTAACATTTATTATATGAATTTATATTCTCTGTAAATAATATCAAATAATATGACAGGATTTAAAAACGGGAATGTTGCAATTTCATTTTTGTTTCACGCTTCGTGTTTCAAATCAATTAAGATTATACATAATAAATATAAAAATATAAAATTAGTGTAAAATATAAATTAGGCAAGAACAAGATAAGACTGATATATATATTTTATTTTATTAATTTCGAGCTCACAGAATGTTATTCAATATGTACCCTAATTTAATTTTTTTCCAGGGTTTTATTTAGATTAATTTTCTGTTTGGTTAAATAGCGAAATCAGTTTTCGACCTCTTTCCACTGGACCGGTTTTCTTTAGCATTTTGCAAAGGTAGTCGAATTTAGAAAATACTTCTGTATAAAAAGTACAGCACACAGTGTTGTGTATGCAGCACACATTCAGCATTGCGTATGTTATTTGGATATGGCAAAGCGTACGAGGGCTATCTGGCTAAGAAAAGGAATGCCTTTGTGGAAAGCTTCCTAAAGGACACTGGCTTGCATTCATGTTACACATGGGGTAAACCACGAAAGCCGAACATGCAGCCAGCCGGTTTGCGACATTGCTACTGAACTGAATTTTATGGTTTAAACGCAAAGAACATGATATTTAATAAATAAAGGTAAGACACAAAACATTAACAAAATGCCCCTTTGGACGTGATTTAAAATCTAAAAAAACTTTCAGACTTTTTTTTTGTTTTGTTTTAATTTAGATTTCAAGACAGAATATTCTTTCGAAAATGGTATTAAAAACTGAGATTAAGAGGGAAGTAAAAGCAAATGGGACTTAAAAAACACTTAATGGTCCATTTATATATCAGAATTACATTTGCTTACCCACTGGATTAAAGGCAGATTACGAATTTTGGTATTGCAATAAAGGCAAACTTTTGGGACGTTAAATGTCAACAAGAATTTTAGGTATCACTGTTTTTGGATTAAAATTCAGCGAAAAACTCTTTATATTCAAAATTATTAAAAAAACATCTTCAACATACTATTGTCTAACACAGCTTATCGGAAACTAATTTCCACGCACAATGGAATGTCCACAATGTCTATGTCTCACCTCGTGACGTTAAGCCTTGGCTGGAAGGAATATTCCTGAACATCCACAGCATGGGTTTTCTAGAAACCACACAGAAGCTCTAAGATTAACTATCCACATGCACATATTAATGAGAATTCTCTGTCTTTACAGTATACTAAAAATTTATTGTGTGGCAAATAATGATTTTTGAGAGTAGTCTGAAAGTGCCATATTTAATAGATTTAGAATTGACATCCAATTCTAAGCAAAAAATAACATTTTAAAGAAAGAACCCTTGGTTCCTAAAAGCTTAAAAATTCTCATTTTAATTAATTTTATGATGTAATTTATTTTTAAATTTCTTTCTTTCTAGCAACATGGTAGCAAAAAAGAAAGAAAAAAAAAAAAAAAAAAAAAAACTCACACTTTGAACTATTTATATTTAACGAAACCATGGAACGTGTTTTACCTGCCATGAAGAACCAAGCCAACTTGCTCATTGGCAGAGAAAACTCCTTCTCGTTTAGAGTTACAAATTGGTTTTCATCTAGCCTTAAAATAAGGAATTCTGGCATATCTTCGAATAAGTCTCCTGGGAGATACCGCAACTGATTTTTCCTGGAAAAGTGTTCCAAGAAATAGTTTTATGAAGTATAAACAGTTTCACAAACAGAAAATTTCATAACTGGAAAGAATTTAAGACATTTAATACAATAATTAATTTCTAAGCTTGTAGAGATATTTGTCTTGATTATACATAAACCAAAAGCACATATACATTTCTGATATGTTATTTTGAAAGAAAATAGGCTATAATTATAATACTTGCGGTATGATTTGTAGCATTTGAGAAGTCTTCAGTTTATCAATTACAAATTAACACAATTTAGTCAAAACAATATTTTCAATCTTTGAAAAAACCGCAAAAATATTGAATAGCACTAATAATACATAATGAATAATAATTAAAATTTCTAGTGAAATACACACCTTAAGAAAGTTATGTAAAGGAAAATAGAGGAATATAAAAACAAATCTGAACGAAGATTTTTTAAAATTTACTAAACGATTAAATTAGCAAGTGAAACAAAGTGAATTCGGAATGTATTTATACAGTTCTCAAAATTCAAATTCTATTTGTGCTATTATTTAAAAAGTTTTCGCTCACACTTTAGCTCAGTTTCTAAGGATTTATTCGAATAGATATAACTCTTTGACAAATCCCATAAGCTTTTACAGAATTCTAAAATATTTTCTTCAGCCATTTTAATGCTGCATAATTGAATTCATAGCTTAAAGAGTGTTTTAGGAAAATCTGTAAATATACATTGATTCGTCTAACCTGTTACTCTTCCAAAACTATTATGATAAATGCATTATATGAGTCAAAACGCGTGTTATCACTTCAACGATCCATTGCTATTGAACTTTTTGATTGTCATGACTTCTTATTAAATGTTATTGTTTAATTGACTCGTTACCATTGCAAGAGGAACGATTTTACTGTTTATCATTGCTTGTATGACAAAGTGGTTTGCTTAATAAACAAAACGCTTCCTTTTGGTCAGTCTGGCAAAGCATTTGACAGCAACCTACAAGAAGATTCAATTTATTTTCGACTGTGGCAAAGCACGCGAAGTCTATCTGCCAGTGAGGATGGATTCCATTGCGGAGGCCTTTCTTAGATAAATCAGAGCTTGTAGAGACATTAGGTATTTTTTGGAAGCAGGAAAGATGAAAAATATGCAACGCCTTCGCCGGGAATCGAACCGTGAACCTCTCAATTACGCGCTGAGCGTGCAGACCACTGCACGACGAAGGCTCGTTAAGAAGGAGAAAGAAATATCTTATAAGCTCTTATTGTTACTCTTGGTTAAATTACCAGGTAGTTGAGCAGTCTTATCCACTCAACCATTAGCAGATCAAATAAAGAAAAACATTCTTTCTACTTGCCACTTGTATTAGTTGTTGCAAAGCATATAGCTCTTGAAATTGTGCTTTTTTATTACATTTGAGATATTTAATAAAATCGTTTCTTTCATTTCCTAAAATTTAATTCTAAAATGTTGAATGTAAAAAATACTTAGTAAACAATCCTGTCTCTGTTTCTGATTATTTCTACTCTGCATTTTGGAAAGTAATTAGACACAAAATTTGCTTGTTTATAGCTTTCAGGAGAGAAGGGAGACTAAGCATGTTTAAGAAAGAGATTCGTATTTTTTCACATTTTTACCTATTTAAGTACTTAAGAAAATTATTGTAACATACTTATCTCCGATCCTTTAATGAAGGTCAATCTTAGGGCCTTTAATGAAGAGAACAGTTACATTAGTCTTATGGAGTGTCAGCCAGAACCTTATTATTCGTTGCTGTAATTTTACAGGCTGTTACATCGAAGGTTGTTCTATGCAAATCGATTGTATAATCTTTCCGAAGTCTCCGTAGTCAGATGTCAGCGTTCTGTTCAGAGAGAACTACCGCGAAATTCTCATCATTAACCTGTTCGTTGCAATTCTAAAATACTTAAATGAACTTGTCTTCTGAAAATTGAATTTCTGCTTTGTAACAAATGCATATAGTACTATTTCAGAGTTGCTGCAAACCAAAGTGCAACAATTTTATATTAGAAATTTTATATTTGAAACCAAAGTGCAACAATTTTATATTAGAAAAAGAGAAGAGAAAAAAAATTATGTCTGATGTGGACGTACTCAGCTGATTGATGTTTATTCAAGTTTAGCAATGCTTTTACTCAAAATATTGTATATAGTGAAATTTTGATTAATTTTATGAGTCAATTTATTTTGTTAACTCTATTTCTCATTGTTGTTCAAAGTTTGAGTTTGCTTGTAAAATAAAGCAATAAAATAATTGATCCAGCTTCGTTTAATCTTTATTTAATATTTTTTATTACTTCCTTGTGCGAAGTAAAAGAAATAAAATAATCGCGAAACATTTCTAATATATAGCCTAAGACGCACTTTTGAGACATGAAAAGTGCAAGTTAAATTTCGTCAATCCGCCCAATAGAACGGGAGATATTGAATTTTTATGGGTATGTGCGTCTGTGTATGTGTATGCAAGGTGTACAGTCTTAGTTAGATAAGGTGGGCTATATATGTGAAAATATAGCATATTAATAGCGTAATAAAAATAAATAAACAAATTAAATAAACTGCGAAAATACTATTTCAAGTCTGAGTTACGAGTTGCAAGTATGACCGAAGTAAACGTTCCACTAAATTAGAGCGTGAGAAATATGTCCTGATGTTACTGTGAAAGATCGAAATTGGAGAATGTCGACATTCACCGGTTAATGTCAACACACACCAAATACGTCGGTGAAAGACCGAATATTTGGTTATATTCGTGTACATTCGGATCATCACCGGTGTATGTCGACAATCACAGATATACTGTGGTGGAGGTTGAAAAGAGAAGTCGAGTTCAACAGAGGGGCGACTGTCTGTCGCCAAATCCTTTGCTCTGCTGCGATTGAAGTTATGTAGCATGTATTTGTTATACTCTGGAACACTGTTTGTCAGTCTTATGCTAAGTTTAATGGTACGCGCAACGTTTTCTTAATTTTTTTAATTCAATACCCTAACTTATGTTGAATGGATATACTGCAGCGAATCGTGAACTTTTCCTTGATAAGTTAAATGCATTAATTGCGAGTAAACGAGAAGACAATTGTTTTCATTTTTCAAACACATCTCTCCTCAGCGGGATTGATTACTCCTTATGAAGCTATGTTTGGCATTAAACCAAAAACAGGCATAGCATCGCCTTTTTTGCCTGGCGAACAAATCGCAAATATTGAAACTCTTAAAATATTGCTAATACTTTTGAAACTGAAGAACAGCTTGAAACCGAAGAAGAGCTTAAGAAATTGTTAATACTTTGGAAGAAAATCTGTGCAATGGCCATACCGAAAACCATATTCCAAAGAAAAATATTGAGGAGTGCCTGCCACCTACGACATCTTTGTATCAAGCCTTGACTGAACAACACGAGTTAATTTCTGTAAAAAGATCGGACGCGAAAGAGAATCTTTTACTGCAAGCAATGAAAATGTTGCTAACCTCAAAAAATTTTCTTCTGCTCAAATTGGTGATACCGTAAGAATACAAGTCTCTGATATCGACCGTGTTCGTACAGATGGCCGTAATGTTTTGGCAGTTGTTGGAATAAGACTCTGGCTTTCCGTAGATGAGATCCTTCTCTTCATTCATTGAGATTCCATTCTTCAGTAATGTCTCTGAGAGAAGCAGCTGCAGCTAATTTGAGAAGTAGAGGGCAAGGCTATACACGCTGTCACAGCAAACGGCAGTGTTCCACAACAAAATGCAGTTGTAAAAGCAAGGGACTCTTGTGCAATTCAAAATGTCATAAAAGTTTATGTTGTTGCAATAAATAAAATTTCAATCTCATAATAAAGTTTTTTGTATTATTTCCTTTTCTCATTTAGAATGTATTGTTTAAGTTCAAAGGTTTATTTACATGTGCTGTTACTTAAACTTTTTCATATTTTGATATATACGGTATAAATGCAAAAGTAAAAAAAAATTCTTTATTGACTAAATTTAAAACTAAATGCTTAACATTTATCCAAGCACGACTGCTGTCATTATTAAGAAGTCAAGTAATATCGAGTAGCCCTTCTCGCGTTAGAATCAAAAGAAAATGCCTCTATAGAGTTACGAACAACTCTTCTCACCAGGGATTGGTTACTCCTCTTAGCAAGACAGGCGAAAACGTTACGTTACCCTAGAAGTTTTATGGCGCCTGAAATACGGAGAACAAAATGCAAATCTCTGACGTATTCAACATTCACCATTAGTGCATGGTGAATGTCGACATTTGCCGGTGTAAGTCAGAAATAAGGATATTTGGCAAATGTTTTGGACATGCACCAAGCGACTATGTGAATGCTGACATTCACCGGTGAATGTCGACATTCTCCAAATCTCAGTCTTTCACAGTAACACTGATACTGAATAAAGAACTTAATCGAAAGATAACACACGAAACTAATTTTACCTTAAGTCCAATAATTGAAGTCTACATGGCTTGGGAAACATGCTTCTTTTCAACACCTTTATGTTGTTTTCATTTAGAGTCATGTATAATAATTTATTCAGGGCTTGAAATGCTTCATCATAAATGAAGGAGACCTCTGATTGAGTAATTGCTAGCCTAATTATATTCGGCACAAGAATTGTCTGGTCAATGGAATACATTGAAGTAGAGTTGATCGTTATGGATTCGATTCGTTGCAAATTGCGTAGCTGGGACCACTCCCATTGAGCTACATATTTGGAACCTGAAATGGAGATCTTAGTCAAAGTATTTTCCAGTCCATCGAAAGCTATATCCGTATCGGAGAAAGAAGTGAATTCCGTTTGAATGAGATAAATCTGAAAGGAATATGTATGATCTGTTAGTTATAAAATCAGGTGGTATACAGAAATAAATTTATTATTTGTTATTATACGTATTGCAGGTTAAGAAGCAGTTTCAAAAACACGACGTATGATGTTGACGCCATCATTGTGATTTAAATCTTCTTGAATTAACTATAAAACGGCTAGGAATATTTTCTTACTTAGAAAGTACGAAAGGTCAGTCCATCCAAACTTGCAATCTTAAGTATTCAAAAAATATCTAATGTCTCTACAATGGCGACCGAACTAAAAGGGTGTTGGATGAGGATTCACCACACCCAGGATTTGGCAACTGGGTCCCCTAAAAACCCCAATCGCCCTTTAAAAAGGGAAGTATATAAGGTATTTCTCCGCCTTCCTAGCGTGCCTTCGCGTGGTATAGCGGTTTTGCACGCTGGGCCGGTATTCCAGAGGTCCATGGTTCGATTCCCGGCGAAGGGGTTTGCTCATTTTTCCTCTTGCCCGCTTCAAAAAATATCTAATGTCTCGACAAGTACTTTTCAAGAGTCCTAAAATTTCGTTATAAAAATATAACAGTAAATTTTAAAAAATGCTTCTAATAATTCCTAAAATCAATTAAATAGTATCACTTCATATTCTATATTATTATTCAAAAATTACTGCTTTATGAGCATTACTTTAATTACGCAAATTTTAAACAGAAAATGAAGGACAGAAAGAACAAGCTTATACTTTTCACAGTTTTGTTAATGAATTCATCAATAATACATAGGTTTCAATTTTTTAAAACAGTTTCATAAGAATATCATGCTAACACTTAAATAGGCATTTTGAGAACTTTAGAACACTGCACGAGAAAAGATTGAGCGAATACAATTAAATGTCGCCATTCTTAGTGAAAATATCTCCATATTACTTATTAATTCATTAAGTGTACACATTACATATTAATTGAATAGAAAAATGACGCTTATGTTCCTGTGATCAATGTAGACTCCACTACATCAGAGAATAAGCGTATGACATACAGAATGCAAGACACTATTAAGCATTCGTAGAGTTCGCTGAAAGAACTCATGAAAAGTTTAAAAGAAAAGTAAAGTTGAAGAAAAGAAAAGTTTAAAAGAAAAGTAAAGAAGAAGTTTAAAAGAAAAGTAAAGTTTAAAAGAAAAGTTGAAAGTACGAAGTTGATTCTAATTAACACATCTCAAGCATCTAAAATGAAGTGTTTTTTTTTTTTCAGATATAATTTTATTGAATCGATCATTTGCGTGAATTTTTAGTGAATCTTTATCTTAAATAAGGAATGCTCTGCTGGAATTTGTCATTTTTATACGTTTCAGAATGAGTCCGCTCGGAGAGTAGGAATTAGAGCTACCACCGATGGTTTCATTATTCATTTTATTTTCATTTTTCATTTATTCATTTAATTTTTTTTTCATTTATTCCTTTCATTTTTCATTTCAGTAGGAATTAGAGCAACCACCGATGAAAGGATTCGGTAAATATTAGAAGATGGTTAGTTTCCGGTTACAAGATTCCACGTAAGTTCTGTTTTTCTAAACACGCCTTAATTAGCATACTAGCAAGCAACTGTATTGCAACTTTACATGAATAAGTGAGTTGTCTTCTGTTACTGTTACAAAACTTGCGTGGTGTTAGTTTTAGCAGTACCAGGCCATAATATGAAATCATCTTACAAATTATACACATTAACTACATTATAAGATCCGCCGTTAAGGTCGAGGATAAACAATCCAGGTTAATTTTAATGCCTTAAAAAGTACACGTTTGAGCTCTGCGCTCAACACATTCGAAATTAATATTAGAATTGAAAGCTTTCAAAGTACCCACTTTCGCCGGCGATAACGCATTGCATGAGATTGTTGCCAAGCATGACGAACGTAATTTCGGAATTGCAGCAGTGGAATGTCGTGAATGACACTGTGTGGATGTAAGACAGCGTTTCTCCACGCGTCACAGAGTGTGTTTGACAAGTGCTGCAAAAGCACTTTGGAGATAGAATCATCTCCCGTAACTTTGCAGTTTCGTAGCCACCTCGATCACTGGTTCTCTCTCCGATGGATTTCAGATTCTGGAGTTATTTGAAATATAAGATGTACATATTAAATCCCTGAGATTTGTCAGAACTGAAGCCATAAAACGGTTAAAACATAGAGTTATACAGACTCCTTCTACAAAATTCCTTTCGTCATTGTTGTCAATAATCTCCCTAATGGAGATTATTATTGGTTCTTTATATAACGATGTTCTTTGCAAACATTTTACGTTTGTGCAGTGATCAACTTGAGCAGGAAAAACATGGGGTGGGAGTGCCATTTGAAAATTTCGAAATATTTTCACTGTAATTGCAACCGTGAGAGCTCTATTCTTTAAATCAACGCATACCTTCAAATAGCAATACATGAATGTTCATTTCGATTGGTTAGACCGATAGGAGCTCATAAATCGGGAAAGTTTTTCCTTTAAATGACAGTCTATCATATGATTTATGAAAATATACTATATTATCAAAAATAAGAATTATAATGGAATGAAATTTCACAAAACTTGGTTTTGCTTTTGCCACTTGATTATTTTAAATTTGCACACTTTCACAATAATGCTTGCTTTTACTGAATATTAATAAGATTTCTGGTTAGAAAAGATATATACTGGTATATAGTGCATGTCGAATGCAAAGTTCTGGTTTTCGAATAAGCTTTAACTATTACATTAAAATATTATTAAAAATTATATAAATACTCACTTCTTTGAAATTAGTTTCTTGGAAAAGTCCGTTAGGTATATACAGGAGGGAGGAATTAATGATATGAAGCGAGAACATATCTCTCCTTACTGTCGCTTGAATTGGAAGGAGAAGATCTTCAAAGCTCTGCATATTTCTGCAGGTCATTGAACTCTGTCTGTCTTCTTCCCGACATGTGCAAAAAGGGTAAATTTTTTCTGGGGGAGGACAAGCACTCTCCGCAAGACACGAAATCAGTAAAATAATCAATAATGTCCTGAGAAGCATAACGTTTCGTAAAGCCTTCTGAAATAAACGAAGAAACTTTAAGTATTATAATGAATTTTAAAAATTTAAATTAAGCAAATTGATACTACTTCCAGTCCTAAACAAATCGAATTAGATGATCTCATCACGTTAGTGAGTATCACGTCAAAATTTCTGCAGAAAATAAAATATTGAGTGTTAGACTGAGCAAGTGTGTTAGACTGATATGAATATTAAATCATTCCTTTATAGGGTTCCTCCCTTTTAAATAAGTGTTGAGGAACCTAGTGAACAGTTAAGCGAATAATTGCTTAAGTCCAGAAAAAGAAACGTAAAACTCAAGAAGGGTTAATTACCCTTTATTGCTCAAACTCAGATGGTCCCTTTCTCAGGACGTACAACAAAGACTTCACTTGGGCTTCAACTCAAAAATATAAGAAATAAGAACTTAATTAATGACTAGCTAAAGAGATTTAGCCGAAGCTAACATAATTGTAACCAGTTGACCCCTAAATATTGAATTAGCTAGCGAAGCTATCAAGGGCATGCGATGCCGCTGAGCGTAGTAACAGCTTAGAGAGACGTGGCCAAAAGGCAAACGCGCGCTATTCAGAAACTCTGATTCTCTCTTCCGAAGTCAGTGAAACTTCGACTTAAATATTACTCCTTCTCATTTGCATTAAACGCGATTCTAAAAACTCATTCTGGTAAGGAATATCAAGCTGAAATTACGAGAGATAGGAAAGGTGCATAAACTTAAAAATAACTGTTATAAACTTAGGATAAACCTTACATCTTTCTCCAAAAGACTTTAACTATTCGAAGAATAAGATCTCACAACGACCTTGTTTAGGAGTTTAAATTCTACAAAACTTCTTAACACTTCAATGTTTAGCTTCTAAAAATCTGCTTTCTTAAATCATTCTCAATACTGAATTGTTCCTGTTAGGGCCAACTTCGCAAAAGATCTAGAGCTAAGCTAAAACTAAGAAAAAATCATTTTTACGATTTACAACATTCTTGCTTAGCATATGCATCTTCTTCATCTTGACATGTCCATATGTTTTGGATTTGGAAGGAGAAGAGATTAGTACTTGTTTTTACGAAAAATTTCCATTTTCCCTTCTAAATACATTTTATTGCATTTATTTTTGGGCCTCAAACAGATTTCAGTCACACACATTTCAACTCATTTTAACTAACCCCCGCGACGTTTTTAGGATTTCTTCGGGTTTAACAATGATGACTAACTTTTGTGTAAAGTCGTCATGTTTATTACTAGAAATGCTTTGCTTTTCGTATTATTAAATCTCATTGCTCCTTACATCTTATAGCTTTCTACATTGTGTTTTTACGTTAACTCGTCTCCTTAAGAGGACTCATACACCTTTACAGACCATAAGATCTTCGAATATGTGACTGTTGCAAGAATTGAGATAACTTTTTTACTTTAAAAACAATTGCTTCCAACTTTTTACAGGTGACTACATAATATACCTGCTTTCTGAAATAGTAATCAGAAAGTTTGTGTTGCCACAAATATTTTTATAATTTAATCCCTTTATGACAACGGTTTTCGTCATGTTTCCACTTTGCGCGCACAGATTAAAACATTCTGTTGCATAATTTAATTCCATATTTAATACATAGCTTTTGTAGCATTTGGAAACTATTGTGAACCAAAAATTCTAAGAATTTCATGTTAAATTTTTATTTTATTTGGAGTTGAGTTTATAAAATGTATTTTATAAAAAAAAATTGTAATGTTTTCCTGCATAAAATTTTTTAATATTAAAATATTCGTCAGATTTTTGGTTCAGTTAGAAAATAGTGCCCACACAAAAAATTCCATCAAATTTCAAGTATGTACCATTAGCCATTTTTAAAATATCATGCGCGCAAGGTGAAAACATCATGAAACATTTTGTCACAAAGCGGATTAAATTACAAAAATATTTGTGGCAACACAAACTTTCTGGTTACTAGTTCCCAAAGCAACTGTATTATGTAGTCAGTTGTAAATAGTTGGAAGTAATTGCTTGTAAAATAAAAATATCCTAATTCTTGCAACAGTCACATATTCAAAGATCATAAAGGATTTAAGGTGTATGAGCCCCCTTAAAGTATGATAAATTTTTAAATTCTAGTTCTGGTGACTGGCGCCAACCTGGTTTGGAGTTCCTTGCTGTTGTTTCTCAGTTCGACACATTTGTATTCATAAAATGACTCAAGGACTATTATAAATACCATTTCGACCAGTTTAGAAGTGTTTTTACAAAATTTCTGTAATTACTTACCAATTGTATGATTTTTTGATAATTTTGATGCCCTCGCAATTTACTATGAGACTATGAGATGGTGCTACACTATTCTGCCGATATTGAGCGATTGTTGCAAGCTGCAATATACTTCTTTCTTTCGTCTATTTTTGTTAGTGTTTAGGAATTTAAGGTTGATTTTCAGTCTACAAAGAGTACGGAAGAAGGCGATAAGAATAAATAACTGTGCTTTGCAAAAACTTTAAAGATTTTTCGACGTGCAAAGTTGAAACTACTCGGTCCGTGAACACATTTTAAGGCTTCAAAAGTCATTGCTTTTATTTAAAGCAAATTCAGTCAGGAAGAAAAGGGTAGTATTAAATATTTTCACTAGCAATGCATATTTTTAATATAGCATTATCATGCTGAAAATAATAAGCATAATATTTTCACTATATATTGTTTGTAGTATATAAAGAATAATAGTTTTCTGATTTATCTTTCTTCTGCATTTTTAGATTTTACCCTTCGAGCTGGAAGTCGATAGATCGAGATAACGTTTCGGGTAAAAATGAGAAAAAATTGAAGAAGACAACTCTTTTGAGAATAGCTGTCATTCTTTAATGAGTTCAGCGATACCCGTGTACATTTCCAATGCAATATCAAAAATGCATTTTTTGTTATATTTCTTTATATTTTATTATAGGATAAAAGAAATTATTTCCATATGCTTTAAGATGTTTTGGAAATAAGGCGAAGTTTGATTTTGTATGTTAAAGCTTTATATGCTCTTTTCTCGAAATATCGAATATGTAGATTCGAGTTTTGACACTGTATCGATAATAGGAGTTGTTAAAAATCGATGATATTTGAAAAAATAACTTTAAACATTCTGGAAACTAAAATAATCTTTATGCTAAACACATGCCTGACGTATCATTATCATGAACTTATTTGAATAAGACATAAGAGCACGTATAGACATTTTATATGAATATTTATAAAGCGCATACATTTGATTTCATATAAATCAGATTTTCATGTCTATTTATTATTTAGTCTAATTTAAATTTTATATTTTAAATTTTTTTACCTCAATATTTTAAAATTAAATTTGATTGAAGTGCTTCTAAATCATAAGAAAATATAAAAAAGGCGCAGTCAAATGTTCTATCAAAACTAAGAACGAAAAATTCAGAAAATTTCTAACACAACTAATAACAATAAAAGCTGGTGAATTTTTATGCCACTTCGAAGTTATTTAAAAGCTCCTTTTAGTCCTTAGTGATATCAAGAAACTTTTCTATTATTCTTTGAATTTATAAAAGAAAGTATTAGAAGTTAGTTGCATCAACCGAAGTCATTTATACAGCCTCTCAGTACTGAAGTTCTGAGTTGTCTCTAATGACAACTTGCCACTTTGGTAACTGCTGCAGTTTTTTCAAATGATGTCCGCTTAATATTTCTATGCTTCTGTTTCGAGTCACCAAATGTTCACTTTTTATCTGACGGCTTTGGCAGGAGGGTGCATTGTTTACAATGTGAAAAAGCACCTATATTTTTGTGGCGAACTCTAACACTTTCCTCAAGATTTATTGCAGTATATCTCAATAAATTAAGCACATAGCATTCATGTGTATTATTTTATTCAAATAAAAAATAAGATTATTGTTCCATTCATGAACATCTTACTGTTCAGAACTGAATTACAGCACGGGCTTCCAATGTGGTCGGTACTGACCCTGAGGGAGCCTAAACCGAATTTAATACTACAGAATTTTACCACTATGAATACTGTCAACAAAGTTTTAAAAGGAATCAATGATGAAGAAGTGAATTGGGGTCAACCATCTAATATACATGAGCAGCTGACCAGCATAATGAAGATCCGATTGATTACAAAAACATATTAATATCGTAAAACTGAGAATTAATTGTTTATTGATATAAATTTTATCATACAATAAGGAAAAAAATCATACATATTTTTTATGTAAAAATGCAATATAAAAGTAAACTGCAGCAACGCAAGAAAGCACAACTAAAAATTACAAAGAACATAACCAAAAAATACTTTTTCAAAAGATGCATTGTTATATACCATCGGCTTACGGAATTTAAAAGGATATTTTAATGTTAGCTACCAAGACACTGAAATTTTGAATATTCCAGCATGGCTGATAGAATCGCTGAACTGAGATATATTTAATCTTGGTATCATGATGCAAGAGGAATTTATTGCATTGAAGGATGATATATAAGCACACGTCTATTCAAAACACAAGGGTAAACCAAGGTTTAGAATCCGAAAGTCAGCCGAGATAAATATTACAAAATAAAAATTGTTACTGAAGAGCATCACTGATTTTTCCCTCTTCTTACCTAGTAGAAGCTGATTTTAATCAAGTCAATAATTTACAACTGAAAACAAGAAACAGTTTTTTGAACGTGGTGATTTAAAAATTGAGCAATATTATGTCAAATTTTTAATACAGTTGCGTGAATACATGAATACATGCAACTATCATTTCATCAAAGTCGAACTTATGTTCATTCAGAATCAGGAATTTTGCTTCTTAAAACTAATTTACAAACAGGACTTATAATAATAATTCAAAAAATATGAAGACCAATTTATTAAACCCGTTTTTACAAAACTATTGTTCATATTTTCATTTTACTCGTTACCCTTAAATTTATGTGCAATTATTTGTATCATGATTTTGTTGTATACTGTATGTGATAGAGAAAAACGAAGAAACCCATTTTTTTTAAATGGAATAAATTCAAGAATATCTGTTGGGAATCCCTGCTCTAAAGTAATGAACTTTTAATTTACAATATAAAGATCATTTACTGTTATTCCGTTTTTTATGCAAATGATGCGCATTACGTTTGTAGTTTATTTTTGTGATATTTGTTCAAAGCAACTTCAGTATGGAAGAGCGTCAGTATCATAAGAAAAACAGTGACCTTTCTTCAATATTTCTTTCAGTTTGGAAAATAGCCCAAAACCGAAAGTTGGTAAAGTTGGGCTGTAAGAAATGTAAATGTTTTCTTTGATTATTATCATGCATTACTGAAATGGGTTGTCACATCTTTGTTCGTCATAGTCATCTTTTAATAGTTGCAGTCATCTTTTAATAGCTAATCTTAGCTGCAGTTTATAACACATCGAATCCAAAGGCGGATATTTTTACCTTCATACAATAATCACAATAAATTGCTATCAAAATCAGTGAATTTTGAATGGTACACCACTTTATAGTGTCAAAAGGTGTATTACAGTTGATAGCTTCATACATATTTCAGGGATAATACTCATAATCAATGAACACTGTTCTTAAAGAAGCTAAAAACCAAGAGGGAAATCAAAACTGATCTCATTTTTAAACTAAAACCATAATTACAGCTTTTAAAATCAGATGCTTAGAATTTTCTACACCAACTACTGGCAACGCTAAAGCATACTGTTGCTTACTTATCAATAAATATGCGTATTTTATAAAAACTTTAAATACAAAGTTTTTTTTAAAATTATGTTTAATAAATTTCCAGTTTCAAGTTTCAAAAAACATTTCGGTTATAATTTAACACATACTAAACCTCTTCAACAGGGTATGTACACTCTGCTTATAAAGTAAAAGTAGTTTTAATCGAACATTTTTATAATAAGAAATTTAATTAATGAATTTTTTTTTTCTGAAAATCACGGTTATGTAATTTTATCATTCTTTCCACCATTTAGTATAATAAATTAATTACTAACAGAAACAGCAAAGAAAATGGCCTGAGTTCCCTAATACCGATTAAGGAAAGAGAAAACACAGTAACCTTAAGATTAGAAATTAAAAATAAAGTGTTTTAAGAAGCCACTATATATGTGAATGAAGATAGCATGAAATCATATTTTATATACGCTTCGGCAGATTATTGAAACAGCAATTCTAAATTGCGATTAACTTGCGGCATGCTCTTAAAAATTCGAACCATATTATATCATTCAAATAGAATATTTGTTATTTTTCGTCATAAAATTTAAATGAATATTTTCTACATATGATAGTTTTCTGCTTTAGAAAGATATATCTAGCTTACTTACCTGATTTAAATGTGTTGTACATTGCCTTTATCATACATAACTGCAGACGAAGAAAATATTTTACAGAAAGTTTATCGCATAAATGTGGAAGTGATAATTTCTGTTGAGATAAAGCTAATGCGAAAGCAATAGCTGTCATTACCATGAACGTAGTCTTGCGTAAAATTTATTAACGACTGTTAAATTTCTCAGTATTATCAGCTATCATTATTATATTTCTTTTATGGCGGCTAAAAGGGCGGCTAAACTATGTTTATCGTGGTTTCAATAATTATTCGATTTTCACAATCTGTTTATTTTAATACTAGTGTTCTTACTATTGATAGAATATTGTCATTACCTACATGGAAGAGCACGCATTAGAAGAAAACTTAACTGATATAAAAAGTTGCAGTTGATGTCAAAATTTATCCAATCTGAAGTTTTATACTAAAGTTCAGTTCTTCGGTAGACTACTAAAGTGGTGAAGAGTACCGAGATAAAATTGCAAAATTATGATAAGATATTACAGACTGAGGCACTGACACTAAAATCACACAGTTGAAGGTTAGCAAATGAGGTTCTGTCTTCTATAAAGCGGTAATTATGAATCATATTTTGCCACAGCGAATTATTTTCTTATATTAGGAAGGATTATAATCCTCTTTCTTTTAGAAAGAGTGATAATTTGGGAAAACGGCAAATTATACCCCTTCCTAAAAGGCTTAAATTCTTTTTAGCTTATTTTAAAAGTTATTTGTGATAAGTTACTTTATAAAACTTTTTTTAACCTTCTGTGGTGTTTTTCAAATAATATATATGTAAAATTGAAAGCCCATTATTTTATACTAAAACAACTTTATAATTGTTTACACAACAATATAAATTGTTTACGCATTAAACATATGAAATTAAGATTAAACAACAATATAAATTGTTTACGCATTAAACATATGAAATTAAGATTTATTTAAGAAATATTATTATTTGCGCAATTTTATTAAATAAATTATATATGTATTTATAAAATGTAGACAAGGAAACATTTACATTGTTTTACTCTGATTACATGATGCATGCCTTAAACATTTGCAGTCTTTCTTTATCACATTGACTTTAGATATATTGTTGCCATTCCTTTCTGCGAATATTTTTATGCGGCTTTGACTAATTATTTCGAAATGAAATAAATTCTCTACTGCATCTGCAAAATTTATGTTTTTTCGTCGGAGGACGGAAGAATTATCATTTACAGATTGACAGAGAATTCCTGCTAGACAAGGTAAAATTTGCACGGTTGCTTTTATTTCTGGCTTCTAAATCTTAAGTTAAGGCTGACTACAGTATTCACCTGAAATAAATTTTAATGTATGCGCACTTTTTTATCTCTAAAGGAAACTTAAGTGCAGAGTTAATTATAATGAAATTCTAAACAAAGTTAAAAAAAAAGTTTATATACGTTATTATGTTTAAAACCTCTTATTCAAACTTTCAGACTTCAATGCTTTCTTCCGTCTTATGATATTAGCTCTTTTAACAGGAAGCTTTAATGTTGATTCTCTATTAATAATTTTTTCCCCTGTATGTTTTTATATAGCTTATACATACAGCTACAAAGAAAATTCCGCATGCGTAGAAATTAAATAAGCTTCTTTCTGCTTGGCTGATCATAAAACATGCATTTTATTGAACATATATTTCACAGTGCGCACATATTATTACTTTTGAGAAAATTTTAGAAGTAACTTTTTTAATATAAACTGAGTCTCCTTTAACTTGAATACTTGCCTGAAGAATTATGTACAATAGGCCTGAGCAAACGATTTTGGCCTTATGACGGGTCGCAAACAAAAGTATTTTTAGACATGAAATATTATTATGCAGGTTATGCTAAATAATTAAAATACTAATTAAAAAAGATTAAATACTTAAAAATAATACCTGTAAAAGTAATTAAAGACAGTAAAAAAATTAAAAATAATCGCGTATTAAATAATTAAAAAGAGTAAATAATTAAAAACAATTAAAATTAATCAGGTATTTAAAATAATGAATTGAAAGTGATGTCATTCTAAACACGTGGTTGAAGAGCTCTTTGCAATAAACATAAAAATTATTGTCGTTGTCACAAAAAATAAAGCTTCGAAACATTTTCGTTGCCACTAAAAAATAAAAACTTTGAAAACATAAAATAGTAGAAAACGAAACATTGCATGGCGTCATTCTGTCTACGTCATCCCATTCATTTACGTCACAAGATGGCGACGCTCACGCCTCTTTTCTGTGACACCACTTCTGCCTATTGAATACGGCCGTTTACTGCTAACACCATAGCTGACTGGTAGTGAGATTGGTTATGGGTACACCTTTAAGGTTTTCTGGGTAAGTACAGTGACCCCTAAAGATAGATGGCTTTCTGCTGTTTAGTATCCAACGCATTCGACAATCGCATCGTATAGGATTATCTGAAAAAGAGGTTAAATTCTATTTCATATAAGAATACAAAATAATCAGTAAAACAGAAACTAAAAACAAAAGGAAACAGAATATTAAGCTTTAACACCTATATATCAAAACAGCTTACAAATACCTATGGAAAATTCCCCATATTCTTATAATATCAAACAAAGCATTAAAATAATTAGATTTAACATATATAATATAACTGAGCGTTTTTAATAAAATTAAAATTCTATAACTAAAACTATATATGTAAGATAAAAAATGTATGAATCAGAATTATAGTATAACTATAAACATAAATTCCTCCTCTCTATTCTAAAATCGTAATAACTTATCTGCATTGCGTCATTCAAATTAATCATGCGATCTTACGTAACCGTTAATACCAGATGCCTCTTGACGACCAATCACCGAATCTTTCATAAGTACGCACTTCAGCTTTTGCTCTCTACTTTGCTAAGATGTAATTTCGCTGGCTTGCTTTCTATCTCAACAATATCTAAAATGTAAATCTTCTGTGGAAAGGCACGACTAGAGTGCCAAGTGATTTGTGGCCACAAATGTCAATTGGAAATAAAAATGGAATTAAAATCGCCTCGACTGCCAAGTTCTTTAAATACTACGCAATCAAAATTCTTCTTCAATATGGATCTAAGCACGCATCTACAGTGCATCTACAGCGCTCCGTCATTTCCTTTGCTTTTAATATTACAATTAAGCCGGTAGGATGGTTTCCTGCTGCTGCAAACCTCAATGGAAAATTTAGTTCTGCTCTTCCAATCATCGTTTTGTGATAAATCCAAGATAATATGAAAGAAGTGAATCATCAAATTTGTTTTTTCAGTGTTAAAAATAACAGATCATTCTTCTGTCGTGTTTTTAAGTGCTTCAAAAAATAATCACGCGTAGTGTTATAGATTGAAAGTAATCTCTCAATAAATTGAGAAGTTCGAATGCCTAGTGAAAAGGAATATTGAATTTGCTTCGCCGATCTACAATATTTAGAAAAAAAGTGCTTTAAAATCATCAGTGAATTACCGTTTAGGAATTAAGCATTACAACGGGTTCAAGGTCGATCGAGTTTGTTTTGCAAGTATGTGCGACAGAAAATTATTTGCACTTCCGCTTTTTCAACAGCTCAAAAATTATTACATTCGTGTGAAATCTAGCTCAGGAACTAAATTATTTAATATGCTGAGGATTCTGTAGTTTTCATTTCAACTTTGGTTAAAATTTCTGCAATTTGTTTTGAGAAAATCTGAAATTCTTGTTCATTAATTTTTCTAATTTTCATAATTATGTGTGAGCAAATTAAATAACGAATTTTAAGCTATTTAAATTATTCATAGGGAAGGATATTAAGATAAGTTTTTATGTTTTTGAAATTTTGTTGAGAATTTTGAATACGAATTTTATAATTATTCTAAACAACTGTAATAAATGTGTAAAAAATAAGTGAAATTATTACACATATGTAATATGAAATTATGGTAAATGCATGTTAAATTTATGGGTGATTGTACGTTAAGTATAGTGTATGTCGGGAGTACTGGTTCTTAAGCAGAGGCCGTAATTACCTCTCCAGGTTGTTCCTTCACCCTCTTCATGCAAGATAATTGGAGGCTTCATTTTATGAGTGTTGTAAATTTTTTTATATATATCTTTATTTTTAAATGGGAATGTATTAGTGCAGTTCTCAAAGGCCAGTTACCTTAATGCAAGGAACGGAGGCCTTTTCAAGTAACGCCTAGGCACCCTGGGCCACCCGTGCAGAGAACACACGGTTAGCTGAAGAGGACACCCTATTGATGGATATGTTTGTTTAGAAGTATTGCGAGGCTTCCAGTTTGGTAAAATCAGGAATTGTAAATGAAAGATGATAACGGTGAAACCAAATTTTGAAGCTACTCCTATATATATGGTATAAATAAATTTATCAATATGAAAATTAATATCAAATATTTATGTGGCATTATATTTAAATAAGTAATGATTATGTAAAAGTTGTGATGTATCTGTAATAACAAGAACCTTCCCAAAGAATTATGATTATGTGAATTCTCAAACAAAAGACTTTTGGACGAAATGCTGAAAAATTCAATAGGACTCTAAAAATTAAAAATTTATTTAAAAAATTGATATTTATAAATTATACTTAGGACAAAAATTTTATGATTATTTATTTTTTTTTTTAGCATTTGCTAGTGCTTTATCTCTTCTCTTTCAAGGCTTCTCTGTCGTTCGCCTTTTTCTTTTTGAAGGGGGGGAATATGTAAGAAAAAATGTAAATCAAATTATAGATATAACTATAACATAAATCCTCCTCTCATTCTAAAACGTAATAAACTTATCTGCATTGCGTCATTCAAATTAATCATGCGATCTTAGGTAACCGTTAATACCAGATGCCTTTGACGACAATCACGAATCTTTCATAAGTACGCACTTCAGCTTTTGCTCTCTACTTGCTAAGATTAATTCGTGGCTTGCTTCTATCTCAACAATACTAAAATGTAAATCTTCTGTGGAAAGGCACGACTAGAGTGCCAAGTGATCTGTGGCCACAAATGTCAATGGAAATAAAAATGGAATTAAAACGCCTCGACTGCCAAGTCTTTAAATACTACGCATCAAAATTCTTTTCTTCAATATGGATCTAAGCACGCATCGACACTGCTCCGGCTTTTCCTTTCCTTGTGCTTTTAATATTACATATATATTTTTAATTATACATTATAACTATATATATTTTTAATTAATAAAATTTAGCAAATGCAGTATGCAATTAAATCGCTTGAGGTTTATTCTCTCAGTATAAATTGACAATAAAATATTTGACTGACAGGTGGATATGATTATATTTTTCAGAATCTTTCTAAATTGGAGCAATTGTAGAGAAATAATTATTGTTTTAAGAGTTACGATAAATAAACTTTAAACACGGAATACTTAATTGGCTCAAGAAAATGATTCTCAGGGCCACCAAGAGTTAATGCTGGTAAGCCAGATCTGTTGAATTCACAACATGGGCTTTTGTTAATGAATGCTTCGGTTGGAAATCAATAAAACTAATCTTTGCATATTCTCAGTTAAAGCTTTTTAATTTTTAGTCCAAAGGGGCTTTGTCTCTGAAGAACTATAGTTTTCGTTACTCGATTTTCCGTTGGTTCACTATAAATGTCCGTTTCACTTTTTAAACTGTTGCCACAAATGTTAGAGTCCTGCATTATATTTGAAGAAAATAAATAATGAAAAATCTGCAATATTTATGTATATTTCTCGCATTGTGGTAAAACAACGGTAATAGGATGATTTTCAATGACGTAATTCCTACTGGATGTGCGTAATGGGAATGTGGAACCCCAAATTTAAAATTTGGGTTTGTTTTTTATGATTTATCTTTGTAAACCTTTAACGAATTTTGTTAACAAACCAAGGATTGCAAACGCCCGCATGGGAACATTTTACAGAAAAAAACATTTTATCTCAAGGCCGCGAGACTTGGTCGGAAAATTCTAAAATAAGCAATTAAAAATATTTGCGATATTCTTCTTGAATGAATTTTGGGTTAATGCGAAAGAACGTGAATTAATAAATAAGGTAACAAACAAATGTTAAAAAAAAGCCATTGGACGTTATTTAAAATCTGAAACATTCAGATTTTATTTTATTAGTTTGAAATCGGATTTCGGTTTACAAAAACGCACAAAGGCTCGAATTTCAAACTCAATCCCTTTCGAGATTCGTGTGTGTGTGATTATGGCAAGCTCGAGGGCTATCTGCCTAAGGGGAGGATGCCTTCGTGGAGGACTTCTAAGGGGACGGCTCGTATACACTTACGCATGGGAACCCACGAAAACGCCCATGCAGCCAGCCCGTTCGCGGGATTCGAACCTCGGACCGAACTACCAGTGTTCAGCGACTTTACCGCTCGGCCGCTGGTGGGCCCGAGATTCATGGGATTCGAATGTCTCATTCGTAATTTAAATTCTTTGCCTAACATCCAGTCTTTTTTTTTTATATTTATTTCAATTTCGTTTTGCTAAAATCATTTGAAACCTTACATAGAAAAAGATATTGTTGTTTCTATATCCATAAATATCTTTTTAATTTAATTAGAAGTTTAACCACGTAATTGTAGTGCTTCAATTCGTAATTTGTTTTTATTTTCCTTTTCCTTTAGTTGTGCTGAATGTTTCTTATGCTTTTGAATAAAGTGATGTTGGTAGTGAATTTCCAGAAATTTTGCATATCTTAATACGTTGCATTATTTTACTTGCTGCCTTAAGAAAGACAAAATACATCTCTGCCAAAAGGTACAAATTCCTCTTTCTTCATTCGCATGAATTAATATTTTTGCCTGCATTACTTGTCTTTTGCTTTCTATAAAGAATTCTTATTTTTCCAGGTTTATTTGAATTTTATCTTTTATAAAAGTAATTTTTGTGTAGCTTAAAGCCTAGAGATAGCACTAAGAATTTTATTTTCAGGATATGACTATTTTAAAAATTAAAGAACAGTATGTTCGGATATTAATTTTGAAACAAGAGTAGAATTTTATACTTGTACGATCAAACTAGCACCTTGTCATAAGTTCTTAATATAAATAACGGGCGAGTTTCAGAGTACTTTCTTATAAAAAGTATAAAGTAGTATATGTTGTAAAAATTTCAGAAACCTTATAAAAAGCAAAAAGACTTATATAAAAAGTCGGTTTAGTTATGAACTGAGAGAAATGCCCATTGTGAATAAAACGTTTTGTTTTTCAGTCTTTTTTTTTTTTTTTCATTTGGAATGTTTCTGCAAATTTTAAATATATGTGATTTATTTTAAATATAGCATATTTAATTTTAAAAAGAGTGTGCTTTGTAAAATATATTATGTGGATACAAAAGACAGAAACTATCACAAAATTACCCTAGAATTCTGCTAAATCATTTTAAGATATACAAATTTTTATTTCGTAATAAAGTTTAGTTTAAGCTTATGTACATTTTTAGCAGTTCAATTAGTGTTTTTGTATTTGTAGTTGAAAAAGTTGAATAAACAAAATTTAAATTTAATAAAATCAAATTTGGAAATATTAAAAAAAAGTCAATGCTTTTAATTAAGAATATTTTTCTGCCCAAGGGATATATGCTAGCCACCAGAAGGTTAATTAGTTTACCAACAAGTACTTGTAGATAACTATTTTAATCTGGAAGGGAACGAAAATAATATTTCGCTATTTCTTTCTTATCATATCGACGTTTTCAGTAACTGACTCGCAGCCGTTTCAGTTACCTTTAAAGTGTTCGTGTATAAAGTTGAGTGAAATAGGTTCAATATAATCAATTTGTATAAGGTATTTCTTCTGACTTCTTAACGTGTCTTCGTGGTGTAGTGGTCAGCACGCTTGACGCGTATTCGAGAGGTCCATGTTTCGAGTCCCAGGGAGGGCAGTGCTTATTTTTTATGTCTCCTGCTTCCAAAGAATCCTAATTACTCTACAGGGGTGCCCGAACTAAAAGGTTGTAAATGATGATTCTTCACCAGGATTTGGCGATTAGGTCCCCTAAAATCCCAGTCGCCCTTTAAAAGGGGGAGTATACAAGGTATTTCTTCCTTCTTCTTAGCATGTCTTCAGGGTGTATTGGTGAGCATGCTCAACGCGTCTTCGAGAGGTCCGTGGTTCGAGTCCCGGTGAAGGCATTGCTCGTTTTTCATGTCTCCTACTTCCAAAATGTCTTAACGACTCAACATTTGTTTTAAAAAATATCAGCTTATTCTCAAAAGAAAAACTGCTTTAAATAGTGTATAAACTGACAGGCTTTAAAAAGAGGATTGTTATAATTTTAATTTCAAGAAAATTATGTCTCATTACGTCTTTTTGACAGAAAGTTATATTTCCGTTTGTTCGTTCAAATAAATTTGAAAAACGCGAGTTAAATAATACAAACCATATAAAATTAATTAAATCTTTTCTGATTTATATTCAAAGCCTTATTATGATATGAATGGCTTCTAGCTTTTGCTATGTTGTTTTGTTCCTTATTCTTTTAAAAAAGGCATATTATTTTTAAATTTACATTAAATTATAGAGCATATTTTACCTTCTATGAACAACCAAGCCACTTGTTTCATTGGCAAAGAAAACTCTCTCTCACTTAGAGTTGTAATTTTATTCTTTTCAAGCTTTAAGGAAAGTAGTCTTGGCATATCTACAAACAAGTCTGCTGGAAGACGCTGTATCTGATTTTCACTGAAAAATAAAATTCATTTTAAGAAATGAAATAATGCGACATAAATATTCAACCACAAAACAGTTCGTTCTTCATCTTTTCATTTTATTTTTTAATAAAAAGAACATTTTAAGGTGAAATTACAAAGAAACGTATCCATTCTCAAATTTAATTTGGAGTAATAGATAAAAGTAAAAATATTTTAAATTCATTATATTCAAATTCAATATTATAATTATTTTTAAAACTGACAGGGTATATTAATATAATGTTTAACTATATTTGTGTTTCAAATTTGGGAGGGACGTAAGTGTGTTAACAACATTTACTCATTTCTATAAAAATACAGAATTCTGAAGAAATCGTATATTAGTAAAGGCGAATGTGTGCCCTTGGACGAAAATAGGTGTTCAAGTTAATAGAGTGCTAAGTCTTACAATGCATTTTTTATATTCGCTGTGTACTATTTATATGTAGGATGTAAATTGATCAAATTATCCTACTGATTTGCTCCGGGTACCTTCATATGTGAAAATTGGTACTGCTTGGAGTTGTGAAAAAAGGTTCCATACCTTTAGCCCAAAGGAGCGTTAGCACAGATGGGTTATTACTCTAGAAACCGCATTTTGCATCGGTTCACTATAAACGGTCTATCACTTTTAAGATTGTTGCCACTAAATATTATCGCTGTGTATTATATTTATAGAAATTAAACGATGAAGAATCTTCGTGAATTTATGCAATGTTCTCGCACTGGGAAAAACAACGGTACCTAGAGCAAACAAAATTTGAATAACGCAGTTCTCCACCCGAATATGGAAATCTGGAATTGCGAATTTGGAAATTGTTTCATTGTGTATTTCATATTTTGTATAAGGAATATTTGATTAACGAAATCAACGAATTCAAAGCGAGCAGTGGCAATACTGTTCGAAGAAAAAACACTTTTAACTCCAGCACATGAGACTATCTATCAGAAATTCTAAAGCTATGCTGTTTTTAAATATTTTACTGTGTATTCCATATTTTGTAAAATTTTAACGAATTTTTGATTAACACACTCAACGATTTCAAAGCGAGCAATGTACGGAGAAAAATATTTTTATATCCAGCGCAGAACTGTCTATCAGAAATTCTAAAGATTGCTGTTCTTAATTATTTGTTTATTTTTTCCCTCTTCTGGAATGTTCATTAGCAATGTTTATGGGAACTATTAACACAAAGTAATAATTATTCAGCATTTAAAAAACTGGAAACGGTTAAAATGTTTAATTTAATCATTCTCTTTCTTGCAGCTGTGGATGGCAACGATTTGTAAAGCAATTTAAAATGGAATCATAAGTTTTAAAACTTTTATTTGGAAAATAGGCGCCATGTTACCTTTGTCTTTAAAATTGTAAATTTTAAGATTCCTATGATCTAATTTTGTGATTTATGCTGTGAATTATTTTGATGTTAGTTTTAAGCTATCATGAAATGAATGAGTTTTATGGCATAAGTTACTTACTTTAGCCATTATACATTTTTTACTTTAGTTATTATTTATAGCGTAAGCAGTGACATCTACATCTTAGTCAACGTGATTCAGAAAGGTGAAGAGAGAAAAAGCAGCGAATAAAAAAGAAAAACGAACGGGAAAGAATGTCTGTCGCTTGGACATATAGCTGCAGCTGACGATATTCCAAAAATAATTACTAACTTTCTTAATTAGTGAAAAGAAACACACACACACACAAAAACTTTAGTAATACATTTTATTTTAAATGTTTTGGTTCCTTTTTTTGTTGTCCCCATTGTTGACTACTAAAAAAATTATTGTAACCACCTTAGCAGTTGAGATTATGAAAAATATTGCAGATATTAAAAAAAGATTTTGTTTAAAATATGCATATATATATATATAATATAATATATATAGATATATAATATTAATATATATATATATATCGCAAGAAAATGAAAGTAAATTGACATTTCTATTTCAAACCACTACAAATACACTCTGCTGATCAATGTTTACTTTAAATGTTACAAATAATATATATTTTCGAAAGTAGAGTAATCAAAAACATTCTGAATAAATCATTGAGCAGAAGTAAAATTTTAGTTCTCTGTATGCGCTGAATGAATTAACATCAATACTGAGCAATCAGAAAAATTAGTTCTCTTCGTCCGTTCAATGAGAGTTAACCTCAGTATTAACAGATCAAAATAATTATTCGAGACACATGACTAGGGATTCAAAACAAGGACCGAATGTTTTACAGGACATAAGTACCAAGATTGGTATAGTATTAAGCATTATTCGACTCGATGGAGAATCTCGGAGTTGCTAGTTATTAATAGTTATAGGCAGAAATAAGTATGAAGATGTATGCAATTACAGCAATTAAAAAGAATAGTCGAAATTGTACATTATTTATGTGATGAGAAACAAGAAATATGAAAGCTGAATATAGATGTAGCATTTTCTTCTTATCCTGTTTTGGCTGCTTTATCCTTCTTGTTCCTAAAGAATACAGACCACATCAAGGTGTTAAGGACCTTCTTTCATCTTTGCTCAAACTAATATTTTTTAAAAGATGCATATTTAATATCTTTGTAGATTTCACACGTTTTACTTAACATCTTTGACAAGTATAAATATCTAAGAAACACCCTTTACTATTTTCCAGTTTTGCAGATAGTTGCTGTAAAAAACCATGATTCTCTTAGAGATTCTAATCTGAATATCTGCAGTCCTCCTCTCTAACACTTTAATTCATATGCATAAATGAATTTCACAGGAAGCCATCCCTATTACGAGCAAAGAGAAACTTCATCTTGAGGATAATCCGAGTTCTGTGAATTTAGTATTCTATTTTATAATATATAATCTGAATAATATTTTAGATGAACATGAGGATAATTTCAACTTTCTATCAAGATACACTCTCTAGCCAAACGTATAAGGACACCCAGTGATACGGACTCGGAGACTCGTGAGGCATCTTTTATATTAATATGATGTTAGTCCCTCTTTTGCATCGATGACATCCTGTACACGTTTGGGAAAACTTTCTGCCAGCTTTTGATAGGTGGCCATAGGAATTGACTTCCAGACGTCCATCACAGCTGAAGTGAGTGCTGGTAGTGAGGATAATCGATTTGTCTGGCTACGTAATCTGCGTTCTAATTCGTCCCGAAGGTATTCTGTGGAATTTAGACAGGCGTTTTGAGAAGAATACTTCAGGTTTTGAATACCCATTACGTCAAACCATGGCTACACAAGTCTCGATGTGTGAATGGAGCAATTATCCTGCTGGAAGAGAAAGGCATCTTCCCCGAAATATTACCATAGAGCTGAGAGAGCAGCGTTTTCCAGAATGTCGACATACGTTTCAGAGTTCATGCTTCTAACCAAAAGAACTAAGGGACCGAGGCCAAACCATGAAAAACACCCCTACACCATGATGCTGCCAATACCATACTTTACAAGTGGCACAATGCAGTCACTTAAGAAGCTCTCGCTGGGCGTCCTCCAAACCTAGACGCGTCCATTGGACTGCCAAATTGTAAAAGAGAGTCATCTCTCCAAAGAACACTTTCCACATGTCCGCAGTGCAATGACGGTGAGCTTTGCACCATTGCAATCAACGCTTCGCATTCTGGGAAGTAATGTTCGGCTTGTGATTGGCTGCATGATATGGAATCCTAGGTTTTTTAACTCTCGATGAACAGTCCTGCTGATAGCACTAACGCCTGATGGACTTTGCAACTCCTGCGTGATTTCAACAAGCCAGGACTTGCGATTTTGTTTCGCTATTCTGCTCAGAGTTCAACGGCTGCGTTCTCTAATTTTTTGGGCTTTCCTTTCGTTTTTCTGCATTTTCACTGGTTCGACGTTTCCACTTAACAATTATGTCATTCCCAGTAGATTTTGGCTTCCCTAAAAAGTGGGAAATTTCGCGAACTGATTGCCCACAAAGTTGGCATCCCACTATACTGCCACGATCAATGTCACTAAGCTCCTTTGACTAACTCATTGTCTCACAAATGCATAAATATGGCAGATCGCTACCAACGCTTTTGTAGCTTTCGGTTACGCATTAAATTACGTCACCTGCCAGATTCACCTCTTTAGGGTGTTGTCCGGATAGTTTTGGCCAGATAGTGTACCTGCCAATAAGTGAATCTATCAGCATATCATATTTTTCTGAATTCAATGGAAACACATTATAGCATTTTTATCTCTGGGTAATTTTTACATCCCTCAATTCGTTATTTATTTATTACATTACATGCTCTTACAATTTTAATTAAGAAGATAATTCAAGAGATAATGGATTTTTCAGCTCGCTATTTAGTTGAAATATTACATTTATTAATTTTAATTTCGTTGAGAGAAGAAAATTTGAATTTACAGAAAAGGATAATACGGTATATTTTCAACACCTTTTGTTTGTTTCTGTTCACCAGGAAGGACTGTTTCTTTTTAAACTCAAAATTAATGCATTTGACTTTAAAAAAAAATTGGAACTGAAATTTTCTAATTCATATTGAATTTAAAACAGTGAAATCAAATAAGGAACATTTAGAATTTACAAAGAGATAAATTTTTTTCTGAAACTGTAAATTATTTCCTAAGACACTTATTTCCTGTATTTTAATTTTAAAAGCCTGTCCTCCACAGTAGCGATCTCTGACTAGAGAGTCCAAACCGAGCGTACTATTTCAGATTTCAAAGTAAGATTTTTTTGTACATCTTCTTTCCAGCTACTGGCTAAGATCTGTATCTAGTCGGTCTCGACCATGGCGATATACAAATAACTAACCTAGTGGTTCTAAAGGTCCCGGAAAGATCACTTATTGGCCGGCCCGTGGCTTTGACAGGTCCTACAGCTCAAAGCTCTAGTTGCCCTTGGTGACGTCTCTGTCTCTGGAAGGACTGGTAGGTAGCAAATCGACGACCAGTGTCGCATTATGGCGACGGCGACGGTGCTAGTCTCTCCATAGTGCGAGGGCAGGGTTTGAACACCTGCGCCTGGTTCGGCGGTCGGATCGGACTCGTGGATTTTGGAAGTACATTTATATTAGCACATGAAAAATATATTAAAAGCTAGTTGCTCAATACTGAAGTAACTAGAAAATTAATAATATACAAAATTTATTTTATCTTACTTTTAGGCAAAATACTATTGATTACCTTAAGTCAAGGTATTGAAGATTGCATGGCTTCGAAAACATACTTCTCTTCAACTCGCTGATTTTATTATCCTGCAAAACCAGAGTCATCATATTTTCAAGGGCTGAAAATGCCTTGTCGTAAATGAAGGAAATCTTTGACTGCGTAAATGATAAACTAGATATTAGTGGCATAGTAATGGCCTAGTCAATGGAATACATGCTGCTGTATGCCACCCCTAGCCGCTGGAGTTTCAACAAATTACTTAGCTGAGACCAATCCCACTTATCAACATACTGGATGTTGAAAATGAAGATCGCATTCAAGCTATGTTCCAATCCACTGAAAGCTACATCCGAATCAGAGAAGGATGTGAGTTCCGTTCCTGTAAAGTAAATCTGAAATGGCGTATATACTGTATTAGATGTATTTACAAAATTAACAAACAAAACTACTGTGCATGTTATTATCACATATATATAGTTGTCAAAATATTTTGAGATATTCAGAATTTATAAATGTTAAATTCTTACTATCACCATAAGTTTTCACTTTATAAGTACATTATACTATATACCGCACCTTCCTAGCTCAAAACAATTTTGATCACATGCTAATGAAATAAAACAAAGACACACGTAAGCCAAAAGTCATTGAAAAACAAAGATTTTTGACCTTTGTTTCTATATGTTTCTAAAAGGAGACTAATTTAAAAACGTTGCTGTAGTAGAAAGCCTCGCTACTGAAATTGCCATATAACGTGATCATGATTATTTCGACATTTTTTTACCACATTATTTTTATGACTTTATTAAAACTTTATTTCTACATTCTTATACTTTTTTTGTTTGGTTATTGTTTTCCCTGCCGCAATATTTTGTATGAAGGCATTTTCTGTTCGCGTTGTTTCTTCGCGACATTTTCGTCCCCGATGGTCCCGTTGCTTCCACGGCCAGCTTTGCATGGTTCTTAAAGTTGGTCGTGGTTCGTCGCGATGTTTTCGGCGGACACGATTCGAAGACTTCTTCACATGCAATAATCAATACTTAAAATATAATTTTTTAACGATTCATTTTAACGTGCAGCGCAGCAAGGGTGTGTGTTATAAAATGAATTCTGCTTATAGAATGTGAAAAAAATAGTAACAATCAAATAAATTTTTGCAATATATTTCTCTGTTCGATTGCCCCATGCTTGGAAGACTGACGCTGCCACAATTTTAAATAAAATTATGATGTAAATTACTTATGTGAGCGTCACTGTTTGACTTGAGTAGTACGACTTTAAATAAAATTTTTAAGTAATAATTCTATTTATACGTGAATTTCGATTTAATTAAAAATCAAAGAGTACTATCTTTTATTGAAAAGTACTTAAAAAGGTATATGTATACTTTGTATTATAAAATAACTAATGAATCACAAAATTATTAATAAATCAAATTAATACTCGCCTCTTTGTAATTCGTATCCCGAAATATTCCACTGGGTATATACATCAGCGTAGAATTGTATATGCGGAGCAAGTATACAGATTTATTTACTGTTGCCTGAATGGGATAGATGAGGTCATCAGGACTATGCATGTTGCTGCAGACCATCTCGAAACCAAAGCATGTGCAAGGGTAGATTTTTTCCGGGGGTGGGCAACTACTTTCTACAAGCCATGACGTCAATAAAATTATCACGGTGGCCGTTATAGGCATACTTCTCTTGTTAAAATTATCTGGAATGTACAAAATACATACATATGGGAAATAAAAGTTAAGTTTTTTAACTTACATGGATAATTCATTCAAACATACGAGCGAGGACAAGAGCGATCGTACCCAAATTATCGCGGATTTGGGGGAGAAGACTAATTCCCTTTGATAAGTGAGCCTTCTTCCGAGAAATCAATAAAAATGTGCTTACTATTTCATGCAAGGTATTTTCTTGCCTATATTTTATGTATGTAGTAGTTATTCTCTTTTTTATTTTATTTTAAAATGTACGTTTTTGATGCACATCAATGCAAATTTTAAATGTTTTTCTAAATTTATTACAAATTTTATATAGTCTTTTCACAGTCATCTTAAGAAATAACATCTCTTAATTTCAACTTGAAATAGCTTTATATTTCTTTTCCTGGGGAATAAAAGTTCTCATAAAATTCTTAAAATAAATGCTTTAATTTCGTGCAGATATGGTAGCAATTAACCTCAATATTCAAAACATATTATTCGTACATATAAATCAGTGGAAATTGCAACTACTGAAATTCGTGCATAATGTCACATAATAATTTCAAGGTAATAAAATAGAATAATATTAATAGTAGAAGGCATATATTACGTAAGACATAACGGAGAACCTTATGGGATCGAAATACTGTAAGCCGGCTGTAGAAAAACATAAACTATGCCAGTCTGAAAATGGGCTAAGCCTTTATGCTGAAATGATGTCAAATTAGGGCACAACAGTTAAACTGAAGGCTAATTTAATGGTCTAAAAACTGTATGATGTTTTTTTTTTTTTTTTAAGAAAGTATAATCAAGTCGGAAAACGAACCGCTTTATAATACATGTAAATGTTACATTATTTGATATGAAGAGGCGGAAGAATTACTCATATATCCGACACACAAAATAAAAGGGTTCCATAGTAATTTCATAAATTACTTTTATGCGTAATCAAACTGAACATTGCTTTGTACAGTTATTTTGCTGTGCTTAAAAATTATATTTTTCTTTTTTCTCGTTTTTTTATTTGGTATAAGAACTTCAAGAAGGCTTACTGATAAACCAGCATATTTTGAAACATTTTATGCTGTTTAGGAGCAAATATCAGTAAGCAAGTAAGTAAATCTAAATAAAGTGTAAATCGAATCCGAAAGAAATTTTTGTACTTTTCAAAGATTTTTCCCTTAATTTAATAATTTCAAGTAGATCCATAATTTCAAAAATAATTCCACAATCCATAATTTTTATTTTAACTACGCATGCCAAATGATTTAAATAGATCAATTCATTCTGAGCAGCTCAAAGTATTAAGGAAGTCAGAGATATGATAAACGTAACTAATTACATATGTTATAATAATACATATGTTATTAATACACATAAATAAAACAGCTGATGAGAATGAAATTTACTTCATAAAGCAGTTCGTTATTAACACAGTAAATTCCTTTGTTATACGTTTAAATTTGAATCATTTACAAATAGGAAATACATACTTCTTCATTTATCTATTCTGCATGCTTTCTGAATAATAATTTTCTTCTAGTCTGAACTAATTCAACTTTACATTGCATGTAACTTGGGCATAATCTAAATCGGAAGCAAAGCAACTCGATAATTATAACGATATTTTAATCTACATCGAGAGCACTGTATTTGATACTTAAAATTGATCATATTTAGAAATTAATTTGTTGTTCATTAAGTATCCTTTCATTTTTATGCATACGAAAGGTTTTAATTAAAATCCGTAATTACGTATATTACATATTTCATACAATATTTTAGATTCCGTTTTTAATTTTCCCATTTAATGCTTTTTACATAAATAACTAAAGATTATTCTTTGAAATTTACTTACAAAGAAAACGATTATAGTTGTTGTGTAATTTGAAGAAAAAGGCTAGAGGGCGCTGTTGCTCGCTTAGTTGTAAGAGAATAAAGTTTGTTCATGTTGAAGGTGGCGGCCTAAGAATACGCTCTGTATATAGTAATTAAAATATTGTTTAAAATGTAAAAGTGTTAAAATTAGTAAACCCACTGAACCACCATCATCTGATTTGGAGATGCACAAAATTATTAGATGGTGCATCGGCGTAAGGAATTAAGGCTTTGTGAAGATTTTAGGTGTTCGATCCAAGTGTTTCGATTTCAATGGATATTTCATACTCGAGGGACAATGGAATTCCAAATAAAGGTAGGGAAATCTTAAATTAATTATTTAGTGATTATTTGTAGTACATTAGTAAGTATTTATTATTGCTGTCGTGGGTGTATTTAAATTAAATAAAATGGAAGAAAAGTTAGATAGATTGAAACGTAAACGTTCCACATTGAGATCGTCTGTTACTAGGTTAATTAAAGTGATTGAAGATAAATTAAAAATTGAAGGAGAGGAAAATTCGATTAAAGAATTACGAGAATTCTTTGAATTATTAACCGAAAAGAAAAATAATTTGAGAACGCTTGATGATGAAATACAAGAGTTAATTGATGTTAACTTAATTGAAGAAGATTGTAGTATAAGCGAAGAATACAATGACAAATGTATAATTGCTTGTAGTCAAATTAAGCAGTTTCTAGGTGCGATTACCGCAGTACCGCCAGCGAGGAACCCCCAAAGTTCTGATTTAAACCAGTCTAGTGGTAATGGAATTTTGCATGTAAGTTCCAGTTCTAGTGGGAGTAGTACGCTGAAATTACCAAAATTAATGATTGATAAATTTTGGGGAGACCCCAAACAATCGAATGAATTTTGGAATAGTTTCGAAAATTCGATACATAAAAACGAAGCGCTTTCAAAAATACAAAAATTTGTATACTTAAAAACATTCTTAACGGGACAAGCTTCGAATGTTGTGTCAGGCTTTGAGTTAACAGAAAGTAATTATGATAGTTGTGTAGCATTACTAAAGGACAGATATGGTCGAAAAGACCTGATCATTAATTCATTCATGAATAAAATTCTCAATTTAGAAGCCGTTAAAAATTCTGCTAACGTAAAGGCTTTACGTAAATTATGTGACGAATTAGAAGTTTCGATTCGTAATTTGGAAACTTTAGAAGTAACTTCTGGCTCATATGAACATTTATTAATTCCAATATTATTAAAATTAATTCCGGACGATTTAGTTTTGGAATTTAATCGGCAAAGAGGATCGAAAGATAAAGTTGAAGTTTCGGAATTAAAACGGAAATAGAATGCAGGGAAGTTTCAAATCTAGTATTAAGCGAAAGGAAAAATCCTGTGCCTCCACGAGTCGATCAATCAAAATATGAAACTAGAAAAAGAAAATATGTAAAAAAAATACACCCACGGCTGCATTTCATACTGCAGTTAACCGAAAATGCATCTTTTGTGATAATTTGCACGAGTCATTTAAATGCGAAGTGAATGTTTCTGATAAATTAAAGAAACTAAGATCCGAAAACCGCTGCTATTCTTGTTTTAAAAAAATTCCATACATCAGAAAAAGTGCAGAAATAAAAAAACTAAATGTAATAAATGTGGCGGTATGTATCACAATGAATCGATTTGTACTAATAAATCCCTTGTAAACAAAAAGTTGGAACAAGGTTATTCCAAAAATGAAACTGAATCTCTGACTTTGAATTCTGAGGAAAGAAATAAAGTTCAAAACTTAAAATTGATTGCTTCTGTTCCTCAAGGTGATAATAATAATGACTGTAATGCCAGGGAAATATTATTACAAACTTGTACAGTTTATGCTTGTTCTAAGTATAAATCAAAATTAACTAGATTAATTCTTGATCAAGGCAGTCACAGATCCTTTATAACGAAAAAATTGGCCGACCATTTAAAACTTACTCCAATCCGTTATGAAAGACTTTCTGTTTATTCATTTGGTGCGACGAAGGCAATGAATCATTCCTATCCGGTTGTTGAAATCGAAATTCAGAATTGGAAACAAAATTGAATGTTTGATCTCGGATGTTATTTCCTCGGCGTCCATCAGTGTGCCTAGTAAACAAATTGCAGACTTCATGGAGCATATGGGGTTGCAGATCGCCGATTGCGCAAGAAAAAATAACATAGGTGTTGAGATATTAATTGGGGGGGGGTTGAATTCTGGAATGTAGTTTATTCTGAAAGAATTAAAATATCTGAAGGGTTGTACGCAGTCAGTTCTGTGTTTGGTTGGGTTGCCGCAGGAATCGAGAAAAATAAAACAAACAAAAATTGTTCTGAAAATTTAGCGGTAATGACAAACACTGTTGTGTTGAAAGATTTAAGAGGTTTTTGGGAATTAGAACATATGGGAATTAATAATTCTGATGATTATTCCGATATTGACTGCGAAATAGTAGACCAGTTTGAAAGAAATTTGCAGTTTAAAAACGGAAGATATGAGGCAAATTTAATCTGGAAATACAGTCCGAATAATTTAGGAAATAATTTTGAGGTAGCTAAGAAACGATTCGCAAACCTTCACAATAAACTAAGTAAAAACTCCGGAGATTTTTCAGGAATATAAAAATATAATTGAGAACCAGATATTAGAAGGAATTGTGGAGGAATGTCCAAATAATGATACAAATTTGGGATATTTTATGCCTCACCGAGCAGTGATACGACCTAGTGAAACTACTAAGGTAAGAATTGTGTACGATGCTAGCTCAAGGACAGAGGACACGAATTCGTTAAATGACTGCCTTGAATCGGGACCTAATCTAAATCCAAATATACTAGACATTATGTTAAATTTTCGTAAGTTTAAGATAGCGTTTTGTGGAGACGTTGAAAAAGCCTTTTTGATGATAGGAATTGCTGAAGGTGATAGAAAATTTCTAAAATTTCTTTGGTTTAATGAAAATAATGACTCCTTTAAGATTATGCAAATGTGTCGCGTAGCTTTCGGCTTGACTATATCTCCTTTCATTTTGGCCGCCACTATAAAATATCACATTCGAAAATATAAAGATAAAATGCCGGACAGTTTCCAAATGTTAAATTCCTCTGTCTA